GCAATTTTCACTTCATTTAACTGATGTTAGGCCTGCTCAAGGCATGACACTTTGGAAAAGACACAAGTTTAAGGTTCTTAAAATACTTCTAGTAACTAGAATGCAGCTTGGTTGCATGAAATGTTTAGGCACTGCTCACACCTGTAAAGCAGCTTAACATGCTAAAACATCAACAACCCCAAAACACACATTGAATCCTATCAAGACAGTGTATTTCTTCTGCCATATCAGAATTACTAGAACACAATTACAGTATAAGAAATTTTAGTAAGAGCTTATTGTGATGTATATAGCACTAGAAAAGTCTAGGTGCTCAATAACAAAAACCAAATTTGTTTCAAGAGTAATCATAGTTTCAAATCCTTCTCCCTTTCTCTTAGGCTACTCTCCATACAGCCAAGGACTACTGTAAACTCCCCTGTACCTCTACTATTTGATGATATACTACAGATAAGTTAATTTCAATTTGATACAGGACAGCTTTATGTATAATGTCTCTGTAAACGTAAGTTTCTATATGTTATGTACAAGCAATACAAATAATATAATAGTATACAGTGATGGATTCAATAAGATAATTATTATGTAAACCTGACATCAAGGACAGCCTATGTAATAATCAGATTGTGGATATGCTGAGGTTATAAAAAACAAAAGTTATGAAGAGCATTTGTGATCCATGCCTAACCAGCAACACCAGAGGCATGTGTTTAACCACATAAATTGTAAATCAAAGGGTGATAAAATGTCAAATCATGTAAAAATTACACCCAGAAAAGTAATTTGCATGCAATTAAAACAGCAGTTTTATGTATTAAACAGATTTGGCATAGACTCACTCCCTTAAGAAGAATGAAATCAATTACTGAGCAGTTTTTTTCTTCTTTGCATATTATTGATTAACTTTCTCAATCTGCTGACCTGTACCTAGAATTAATAATATTTTAGTACGAATAACAACTAGCATAGCAAATAATAATAATATATGTAAGTTTCACAACTGGACAAGACTTTAGAGAGCTTTGAAAAGTTTTAAGTTTCTAGGCTGAAATTTGACACTATTCTTTGTGATAAAGCTTTAGCTTGATATTATAACTGTAGCTATTTTTATTTGAAAGGATTAAATGTACAAAATGCTTGTGACAAGAACTTCTACTGGATCTCCTGCTCACCCTTTATGTCACCTTACCCATGTTGTGTCTCGTTGATCTTAGTGACAAACAGAACTAATTATTTGCTGTGTGATTCTAAAGGACAAAAATAGTTACGAATCATTAATATCATTTAAAAAGGTATTTTCAGTCATCTGTTTGGCCTCTATTTAGTTGTGCTGGAGTTGTGAATGACAGCTTCCCTGCTTGAAGCACAGGGAATGCACAGCCTTCCTTATTCTCTGACGGTACCATGGCCTTTTCACACGTTCCTTCCACAGCAGTGTTTGTCCCCAAACACTGGGGCTCAACACAATGGCATTCCTGCTCAACACCCCCACCAACACCACAAGTACGTATCAAGAATGCTAATGAGACAGACAGCTCCTGCACTGGAAGTGTTAACTATACTCTATGCTTGCATGTTTATGCTACTTCTCCATTTGGTAAGGAATTTTAATATTCCTGGCATTGTGTGCTCTTGAATAATTTCATCATGCTAGGATCTCTGTCTGGGGAAAATAAATTTAAATGCATAGTGTTAAAGCATACTAGCTAGTTTATAAAGTTTGTAGTTACTGTAGAAAAGAACACATTAGGTTTTTGATAAATAAATCAAGAAAGGAATAGAGTTAAACACAAATGTTAGTTTATATCTTTCTCTTTCTCTCTCTCTCACCTAACCCCAGTATGTTCAGAGATTTCATAAATTCAACAGTCTTCACTGATTCTAAAGGTAAAAATCAGTAGCTGAACATCAAACATCTGAATCAGATTCACATAGAATGCTTTCAGCCAAGATTTATCAGAATTACCAGAACTATATTTTCAATTTAGAAAATGTAGGGCAATTGTTTTCAATCACCTCAGATCATAGAAAGCCTCAGACTAACCCCAATTCCTTTTAGATTATCACATACATTTTCAGTGAAAGACAGATAAAAATAATTCACTCTTTATAACACAGACATTGAAGTAGGAACTGGTCTTTTATGAACTGAGTATTTTGACTTGATTCAAATCTTTCTTCCAAAAGGACAAGACCCAACATGCTGGTAGTATACAGTACTTACTATGATAAATAAACAAGACTTGAAAACAATATGAGCAGTTTTGATTGCACTTTGTGGATGTTAATGTAGACTCACTGGAAATTACAGAAACTGTTATAATGGAACTATCTGATGTACTTTGAGGTTGCCACTATACTGTACTCCTGAAAACATTTTCTCTGCATTCACACATTACTACTCCAAAATCCAGTATCAAAGGTATTAATCAGCATTTGAATGTTTTATGTTATTTGGTTTTTAATGAACAAGGAGAAAGAGAACATCATAAAAATAAAGGAAAAGTAGAGTTCCATAAAACAATAGTTAAGCAACAATCATCAGCTTTTTTTGGAGAACATATCAGTGGTATATCAAAATATGAAACTCCCAAACAGTTTACCTGGGCAAAAGGAAAGCCTCCAAAGCCTTTAGACCTAAGCTAGTTAAATAATGGCATGGAAAACTAGGAGTGTACGTGCTAAATGCTTATGACATGTTGCCAGTGCAGCCATATTCTGTTTTTTGAGGACTGACTGGTCTCAACAATCAGAAAACCTTCTGATAAGATCAAAACAGTATTGCTGGCAGTTTCACAGTTTGTGAGCAGCATAGCATGCTTAGACTGGTGCTTTTGCTGATGCACAAGGGAAGACAAGGGCTGCAATTGTGCAATGGGGCATACCTTGACATAACTGCAGATTGTACCCACAGTTACTAGTTAAAGGGTGACAATGGCCTGTTATTAAACTGGCCTGCAATCCAAAGAGGCCTGTGCAAGTGCTCAAAGGTCTTACACAAGTAAACAGGGAGTCTGTTTTTATCTTCTAGCTATACTCCTTGAACACATTCAATATTGCTACCAAGGTTCCCCTGCACTTCAAGACTCATAAGAAACTGCAGCTAGAGGAAACATCCACAAAAATATATTGTGTATAAAATATTGGACATTGCCTTTTGATCTTTGCTATATTTCTCTTACGTATATATGAAGGGAAAGAAAAAGAGGCAAAACAATTATTTCATAATATATATAACCAAAATGTAGTGATTACTAACTTGCTGAGAATTTAAACTTCTATTGTAAAATTCACAAGAAGTATCAAGAGGGAAAACATTACTGAATATGGACTTCAGTGATATGTATCCCTCCTATTCTGTATAACATATAGCTTACAACTAGCAGTGGCCACATTTCTTAGCCCAGCTGTAACTTTTATATAATTAATGTTATAATAGTAAAATCTGAGGTATTTATTTTTTGACCATTCATATGTTTCAGAACAACTCTCAAAAGTTCACTACTAGTAATTTATGACTCTTGAAAACTGCAATGTTAAAGAGGAACACTAATTCTCTACTGCTGTATCCTTGACCACATGTTGCTCTTTCTAAATTCAATTATTATTTATATTTGAAATTGCATAACTTTTTATATATTTGGAGCACTTTCCCTATACTGTATATGTAAACTTAGAATTTATCCAAAGTAACAGAGAAACTCACAGTATTCTACATGTAAAAATCAAGAAAGAGAAATACTATTTTAATTTAGTTATAAATTTTCTAAAACTTTGATTTATTGGCTCTGTGTGTGTGTGTGTGTATGTGTGATGTCATCTTACTGTGAGGTGGTAGATCATATATATTTCTCTATGTTTTGCATTGGTATTGTCTTAGAGATAAAGTAAACAATTTAAAATTGATAGTTCCATAGGTGTTCCCCCCTCTTCTGTTAAAATATGTAAAGCATTTGTTGAAACAGCCACATCTATATTATCTCATTCTATATTCTTGGTTACTGTAGATCAGCATTCGTTCAGAATCAAAACAGTTCATTCCAAAGTAAATGTTCCTTTCTCTTTATGGACTTGACAGCAGGAGGTGCTATATAAATGGCATGACTGACATCTGTTTCTTCCTGTCCTTCTTACACAGACCCCAGAAAATGAGATTCTGATGAATTCATAGTTCACTATTATGGCCTGAGATCTCTTGTAAATATTAGTTTGAGATGTAATATTCATTTCTGATCTCACATTATCTTCTACAACAGCTGGTGTGTGTGTGTGTGTGTGTGTGTGTGTGTGCGCGAGAGAGAGAGAGAGAGAGAGAGAGAGAGAGAGAGAGGAGGTTTGCATGTGTCCTTTCAAGTTCAGATGAATTATACATATATACATGCAAACATATGTCAAATTATTAGGAAAAGAAAAAGATACATACATTGTAGGTGAAATATAAAATATAGCTGTCTATCAAACCAAGGAAAAATAGATTTCTGTATAAAGAATTCAAATGCATTTCAAAGCTAACTTGCCTATTGCAGATGACTATCCCCTCAGAACAAAACATTAAGAGAATGGAAATATTTATTTGGTTATGTTTATATATTTGGTTATGTTTATATATTTTTACATTAAAAATATCTTTAGTATATTTCAGGTCAAGGTATTCTAACAGTGATTTTTTTAAAAATGTGAGAAGCACTATGAAAAACTGCATATGATGTATTTAGCTCTAACTGATCCTGAGCAGAAATAGCTATATATAATTCTCACAGAAGTCTGCAGCACAAAAAAATGAGACATAATATCCCACACTGAAAGACATACACAATTGTCTCCATCATTGTTGGCTTTGAAATTATAGGAGAAACATTTCATCTACCTATCGAGTACAGCAACTCATGCAATACATGTCACCCTTCCTTATGACACAGTGCCAATCATAGCCTTTTGACAAAAAGTACATTTAAAAATGAAGAAGAAAAAGCAGCGTTTTAAAGACTTGGATAACTCACCTGTTCACAGTAGTTTTTTTCAGATTTTAATCGTTGGTGTAAGGCCAATAGTACTCCTTGGATATACATCTTTGCTCCAAAGGGGCTGAAACCTTCTCCCTTAGACACCCAAAGAGGTCCTCGCAGAGGTGTGATGGAATTTTGCAGACATTTGTCAAGCAGAGGAACTATATGAATGAAGAGAAAAGAAGACTTTCTATTGACCCTGCTGAAACACATCCCCAAATTCAGAATTCTTAACATCTATTATTGATATCTGACCTGGGTTAAGTCTTAGAAAATCAGATCCTGTATTTCTAGTGGCCACCATGAAGGATGTATTTATATTGAGACCCCCCCATGTAAGATTCATAAGCCTTGTGAGCACACCTGAATAGTTTTGAAGTGTGTCTAACTAGCTGCACAGAGTGTCATGGTGTGCACTGATTGCCTTATCTTCTCATTTATCACAGATGAGTTGGAACCAACCTTGCTGAAATCTACTGGCATTGTCCTCATAAAACTGCAAGATCCATGTTATTTCAGAGCATAGCTTCCTGTCAAGAACTGTATATATTTACAGATCAAACGTTCTACACATCTCATAATTCTTAAAATATATTGAAGTTTTCTAAGGAAATTTTGTTATAATCTATTTTCCCATAACTTGTGTGGAAGAGAGATGCTTCCTCAGCAAAAAACAAAAAAACAAAACCTTAATGTAGTTATAATTTGTTAACTGGGAAAAACTATAATAGATTGTATAAAACACTAAACAGTACATAGGTTATCTTTCTTCATCATTTGCCCTCCAGAAATGAAAAAGCAGACAAATATTTCTAAAGAATGGCAGAACTGTAAGTTAACTTGTGTGGAAGAGAGATGCTTCCTCAGCAAAAAACAAAAAAACAAAACCTTAATGTAGTTATAATTTGTTAACTGGGAAAAACTATAATAGATTGTATAAAACACTAAACAGTACATAGGTTATCTTTCTTCATCATTTGCCCTCCAGAAATGAAAAAGCAGACAAATATTTCTAAAGAATGGCAGAACTGTAAGTACAAACATTATATATAAATATATATTTATTTATAAATTGTAAATATGTTACTTATTTTATGAATAATCCGTATATGAACTGCCCAGTGCAAAACAGCCAAGAACACTGATATCAGTATATACCAAAGACAAGATCTGTTTACTTTCCCTTTTTTTGTTTTGTTAGAAGAGAATTATTTTCAAAATAGAAAGCAAACTTATTATGCATTATTATGAGTTCATAACATAGGGATGATAAATCTCACTACTTACGCATTAATAAAAACTGGAGAATTTTCCCAGAATGTACTAGAAAACTGAGTACCCCCACCTCATCTACATTTCAGATTGTGTTTTTGAATGCGCTAAATCATGAATGTACAGCAGCACTAACAGGTCTTTATATGAACGCAGCTTGCACAGTGCTGATCTCTTCCCACCAACTGTCCTGATTCATCTGTGAAAACCTTGAGTCTTTATAGAATTTAAACCATGAGGATGGGAAGAATAGGAGAGGTTGTTTGGGGGGTGTGTGTGTGGAGAGCTTGTATTTCTGTGAAAAGGTATTTGAAGAAGAATGAAGGGAAACTAGAAGTAGCATCACAGATAGAGGGGAACAGGCTGACTATGTGGGGTTTCCTGGCAATAAAGGTATAGTACTTAATTTCTAATAAGAGAAAATACAAGTGTGTGTACGAAAAATAACATATGTGTAAGAAAGAAATATATTATCTCCCTGTAACCCTTGCTTTGTAAACTCTTTATATGGAAAACAGAGACTTTTCCTTATGAGTGAAAACTGAAAGGCCATTCTGTGTACGCTTAAATATGTACTGTTTGTTGTAATCAGGTGGGAAAGAGGAAATACACCATTGCTCAGTGGTGAGGAGAAATAATTAAATTTCGTCTAAACCACTGTAATTATTTCTGCTTAAGATTCAGTGACAAAACTTGAGTTAGTTGTTTTTTTGCTATGCATTTAATATCATTTTCTGACCATTCTTAAGTAGCTTTCACAGAACTCTCTTTTTCCACTGAGGCCACTCCTTTTTGCTTGGGCTTCCTGTTAAAGGAAAGTCACTGCTTGTCTGCAGTCCCCACTTGTACCCCTGTGGAGTGAATTCATGAAGGCAGAGAAGAATTAAAGCAGCTCAGCTCATAGCTGCCTAGCTTTCTGGGAAGAAAACTCTCCTGGACTGCAAAAAAGTGGTTGTTCTGCTGCCCAATGAGGGCAATGGGTCAATAGTGGGGACACAGAGATGTCACTGTCTGGCCTGCTCTCAGATGGTGGGAGAAGAACTCCCAATGGATCGCTCAGTGGTGGAACTCTTACTCCCACCATTCGGTACAGTTTTCCAGCAGGTGCACTAGAAGAGACATCAGCACCAGTGAGGTTGGTCAACTCTTTCTCTGCACTTGCTGCAATCAGATAATAACCTATCCCACAGATTGATGTTACTTGTATTTGGAGTACAGTACTTCCGGTCGAAGTCTATCTCACAAGATGGGGCCACAAACAAGAAGTGGTTAAAATGCATCAAAATGAATAGACATGTTCACACATTCACTGCTTTTTTATTCCACAATAATATATTGTGCATGCAAATTTCCCTGCCTTTCTGATCAGAGACGTCTGATGGATTTAAATACATTGTCAAATAACATTTTATATGATTGCGGAATATTATAGCTGCATAATACTGTAGATACGTTGTTGTGCAGCAAAGCAAAGCAATATTCTACAAGACAAATTTAAAAATTGGGCAGCCAAAACAAAAAATTAATAACTTTGAAACTGGACTTCAGATCAGTATCAAATTCGGCAGAGGAGTAGCAGACAATCTGCTCTTGCTCTGTGCCATATTTGGAGAAGTTTGTGCAAAGGGCTTTTGAGTTAAGAGTTTTTAGTAAAGTGAAAACCTCCGTTTATTCATTTTTGCTCTAGAGAGAGTTCAGGCTTGACTTCATTAAGCACCCACTTTTCTGCCTCTTGGACTGTCTGGTATCTGTAAGGCTCTCCTCCAACACCACATCTCAAATGAGTTGATTTTTGTCCCTGTCTTTCTTTTATGTACTAGTAATGATTTTGACTTTGGTTTCCAGTGACAATCTTTGCTAACTCCAAGCTCCCCTTTTTAAAATTTCAAATAGCAAGGGGACATCTTTTGGAAACATGCACACAACAAGTTTGTAGAGCTTTGGGTCTGATATAGTTATTCTTCACCAGGTTTCCTACTCCAAGGAAAGGGTTTGAAAACTGGAACATAGCTTTATACCCACAATTCAAAACTCCAGGAAATAGCCTGATATTGTTGCACAACATCATGCCCATGTTGCCAGTAGGAAAAAGAATGGCAAGCTTTACATACCAAAGAGCAGCCTAAAGATTGACAACACCAATATTTATACACAGTGGGGTATAACCCTATAACATCATAATTAATATGTTATTAATTCATAACTCTCTCAAGGAAAAAATAATATATTTTATATACTAGTCCAACCAATCTACAGAGGTAAACACGCTCAGTGCTAAGCACACTAAAATATACTGAGATCAGTGTTACCTCTTTAGGTTACCTATTTAGAACTAATGAGGTGCATGTGGGACAAAATAACAAGGTCTCTATCTATTAATCTATCTGATTATATCTGCTGATGGGACCTAAATGTAATTGCTAGTTTTAGCTAGAATAGATTCATTCAATCAACTCCTGAGTGGTAACTAAACATTTATGTAAATTCCAGTGATCCAACTGGCAACCATGTTAGTCTGTTTCAGTATGTGCAGCCAAACAACTAACAAAAGCAAAGTATTGCAACACCTTTAAGACTAAACAATGCATTAATATTAGCTTTAATCCAGAAAGCTTCTGCTAAAATACATTTGTCAGTCTCATACATATTGATGCAAAGAGTGTCAGCCAATTTTCTGAATTCCTTGGGAATCTGAGCCTTCTTGGCAACCAGGCTTTGCAAAAAGTAAAGCATCAACTACCATATTTTCCATTTCTAACACACCCCATTTATTAGACCCGCCCCCAATTTTCTAACTCCAAAATTAAGAAAGCCTAGCTTTGAGGATTCAGCCTCTGAGCTCAGAACATGAACCTTTTTGTCTCTGTTGAATCTTGAGCCTACAGGCTCCACCTCCAAGGAGGTGTGTTCCAATTGGTTTGTTCAGGGTCAGCTGATGTCAGTTTCATAAGGCTCCTGACTGGAAGAAGCTAAGTCACCTGCCTGTAGGAAACTCAGCCTGGTGGCTGAAGGCAGTCTGTTTACAGAGGCAAGGTATGTGCCATTTTGTTCTCTTCTCAGCTATCTCAGCTTACTTCTGTGTAAAAGATGCCCCTCAATTTTAAAAAAGTAGCATCTTATAGAAAAAAATACAGTACTTTGAATGGCTAGTATCTGACATCTCCAGCAGGAAAGAGTGTGTTGATATTTGCTACTTGAATACAGGAGACGTTAGAGTACATTTGCAGATTCTGATGATTACTATGATTCATAACTGTGTGGCTCAGAAGAATCCCCCTTGTCTGAAAAATGCTAGCCTTTTTGTCATTTTGGATGCTGCTGACCATGTAAAGCTCAATAGTCGCAGGAAGCTGTGAGCTAAGCCAAGTTGTAGAAGGAAATGTAGAAACCAATACTAGATGGACAGATATCCTCCAAGGTAGGCTTCAGCAGTATGTGGACCGAGAACTCCCAGAAGTACAAGCTGGATTCCGAAGGGGCAGAGGAACTCGAGACCAAATTGCTAACATGCGCTGGATTACGGAGAAAGCCAGAGAGTTCCAGAAAAATATCTACTTCTGCTTCATTGACTATGAGAAAGCTTTTGACTGTGTGGACCACAGCAAACTATGGCAAGTCCTTAAAGAAAAGGAAGTGCCTGACAACCTTGTCTATCTCCTGAGAAACCTATATGTGGGACAGGAAGGCACAGTTAGAACTGGATATGGAACAACTGATTGGTTCAAAATTGGGAAAGGAGTACGACAAGGCTGTATATTGTCCCCCTGCTTATTCAACTTATATGCAGAATACATCATGTGGAAGGCTGGACTAGAGGAATCCCAAACCGGAATTAAGATTGCAGGAAGAAATATCAACAATCTCAGATATGCAGATGATACCACTCTGA